ATGGACGATAAATTTGACATGCAAAGGATTAAGCGAACGAAAAGGTAAACAACAATATACCTCGCTTTTATTTCTTGTTTCGAAATGTTGTACAAGTGTTCCGACTTTCTTTGTGCTTGCTATGGTGACTTTATGTGTGTGTTCGTAGTAATCTCTCTGTCCCCTGAAAAGCTCTAATTACATGGCTTTATAGTGATAACCTAGGCTATTTTTAGAGTTTTAATCCGAGTAAAACTCGGTTTGTTTGTGGTGATAATCCACGACTCTGACTTGGTTGTCTTTGTTGAAACACGTTCATTGGCGTTTGCTTGATGGCCGAGAGTCTTGCGCCGGAGAACTCGGATTTGTTGGAGATAAGAAACGTGCAGCCATGGGGAGTTGAAGGGGAGAACGGCGCTAGGGTTTCTGGAAACCCTAGCCTACTGGTCACGTGCCTTGGGTTGTTGAGGCGTTGGGTGTAATGTTGGATCTGGGCCACCTGTACTTGGGCCATTTATTATTATTTTATTTGTAAAGGGCCTGTACACAAACATAAAAAATATGTAAGTATGTATATTATGTAATGTGGTTAGAAATTATTATATGAAATAACATTATTTAAAACTGATGAAATTTAGTGTCTTCACAATCAAATCACTTAACTATTTAAATGTTATCAATCAAGCCATTTGTCATTAACATTAGATAAAATAGTTGGCGTGACAGTAAAAAAATTTGATATATTTACATATTTGGTACTCGTTACTTACGTATTTAATCAATGTAACATATGTCACCACATTAGAGATTTTTTATAATTTATTTACTTTAATATATTTTCAATTCAATCATTAGATAACATGTCATCAAATTATTTTGCACAGTGGGAATCAAAGCAGCAACCAAATGCATGATTTGGGTGCCCCTCTACCACTAGGGCAAACCTCATATTATGATATGATTTACAACATAATTTATTTGTGTATGCTAAATTGCCAAAAAAATGGTTAAACCGAAACTGAAACCCATAACGTTGTTTTATTGAGTTCCTCGACTATTACATGTCTATTTAAAAATATAATAAAATATACAAATGATCCATTGAGTAAAGGTCATTTCTTTGTTGAGTCCCTCGACTATTAAAAGTTATAAAATAGTCATCGGACTATTTATATATTCTAAACTCGTCATTTTTCGTTAAAAATTGATGATCATCTGAGCAAGATGTTAACCTGTTAACTGGGATATGATAAATTTTGATCCTATAACCATCTGATCCCACTATTTTCCATTCTCATGTACCAAAAATTTGATCCCTCAACTTTTTTTGAATAGTCCTACATGATATAAGATAATATTTGTTCATAATTAACTAATTGACAATACACACACCCTATAAACATATTTGCTCGAATAATATCTCTAAGGGGAATAATATTTTTTTTTATCACTAAGGTCACTTGATAGGTTGTACTAACGGGATCAAACTCGGTAAGGTACGAATGGGACGAAGGCATAAAGCCCTATAGATTCAATCAAGATATGAGAAAACACCACGCCTATACACACACACACTGATACTAGCATGGGTACATTTTTATTGGGTAAAATGACATCGAAATGGGTTCATTCTATACCCATTTCTCCAGTATCTAAAGCCCAAACAAATCCTAACGTGGATTCATCTGTTTAATATATTATTATTTTAATTGTTTTTCATTTCAAATATATAATATATATTTTTGATTACTTTAATATGGACATAAATCAATTAACAAATTTAACTGATGTAATAAATCGTAAGTTAATTTGATTAAATCAAATAATTATAAAATTCGATCTTATGTGTGAAGTTAAGTTTATGGGTGGACGATAGTGACCCCTAAAATTTGAATAATTGACATTTTCCTTTTAACTTTTCTAGAAACAATTTGGCAGTTTCATATCTTTTTAAAATTATCATCGACTATTCACTAAATAAATAAAATCATCATTTAGCTTTAATGTTTTTAATATTTTTAATTAAATTCTTTTATGAAATTTAAAAAATTTCTTCTTAAGCTTCAAACTTTTTAAAAGTTTTACTTTATATTGTTTAAAAAAAATTTAATCCTCCAGAATTTTTAAATAAATTTTCGAATTATTTTATCGTTACCAGTTAAATAATTAAACTTAAAAAAAAGATTGAATTTACTTAACCGATTGTATGCCCTTATCTACATAGGCAAGAGGATAGAATAATATTTGTGTGTGTGTGTGTGTGTTAAAGAATGTGGAAGAAGATGACAATTTTGTGTTGGAAATATTTAAATTTTATTATTAATTTTAAGTATTAAAATGCAATCTCATTTAAAAATTAAAGGGTAATGTCTTTGTCATTTGGATAACTCAATAAAAAGTCAAAGATGATACTTTGGCTTATAAATATACTTTGACGTCTTCCACAAATCAATAATTTAATTTGAATTATTTTAATATAAAATTTTTAGTTCTAATATCTAATTTTTTAAGATTTATTCTAATCTAACATAAAATTTTCAATTTTGAAGTAAGATGATGTCTATATAAAGTTTTTCGAGTAAAAATATTGCAATTAGGTGGATGAGTCGTATGAAATTTATGTTTGTAGGTGTGAAATGATTTTCGGGATTACTTTTAACTTATAGTCTTTAGTTGAAGATACCTTTGTTTAAATGTATTTAAATTTATAATTTTATATTATGATAACAATAGTGTCAATCAGATTAATGTTAACTAAATATTAATATTTAATAATTCTTGACTGAAAAAATATTAATTTAAAAAGGTATTGACTTAAATATTTTTTTTATATATTCTAACTATCCAATACGTATTTTACTGTTTCAAAACTGTATATAGTTGACTACGTACTAACTCCTAGTACGCTCATGCATAAGCATGATATAGATGTAGATATAATTAGCTATTTGGTTGAAGATAATATATATATATATATATATGGATTAGACTTACACTATGTAAAATCAATAAATTTTACACCAATTTATAGTAATTAGATTTAATTAAAATTTATAACTCATAAATAAATATTTCTTTAACTCATGTTAAATCAATATTTTTTTCCTTTTTAGGATTAGGTTTTATGGTTTAGGGTTCATGATTTAAAGTTTAAAGTTTATGTTTTGAGGTTTAAAGCTCAGGGTTTGGGGTTTGGGATTTGAGATAGGGTTTTAGGGTTTGATATTTTGGGGTTTGAAATGTGGGATTGGAGTAAAGAGATGTATTGTTTTATTGTGAGTTAAAAGATAGACATAATGTAACGTAATACTCCTAACGTTTGACAGTATTGTCAAACTTAGCAGTATTTTTTTGACACATTTGACCACTCAACGTTTCATTTTGGGTCAAAAAACCCCTCGGTGGATAAAAAACGTTAGTTAACTGACGGTCAACGCATGATACTGACCAAACACACACACGTGGACGGAGATGCTGACATGGCTTGTCCAGCTCATGGTACACGATGACGTGGCAGATCCATGTGGACTAAATACTGACGTGGCATGTCCACATGTGATGCCACATCAACAAATATTTTTTAAATTAATTAATAATTATTTTTTTACTAAATTTTTAACAACCAATCAGATATTGCCACGTGGCACAAGGGATTTTTTTTAATTAAATTAGAAAAGGAGGTATTAAACTTCCAAAAGATGCACCCAATGAGATTTGAACTTGAGTCTAGTGGATGAAAAACTGTCGTGCCCTAAACCACCAGACTAACTCACTTGGATATTATTGCTATTTTCACGCCCTCATAACCTTCAAGCTTAAATTGTCGTATTATATGAGTTAAGGTCTGACGGGACGTGTGGCCTAAGAAGCTTCTTGACACTTCTGGATCTTCTTTGCGACTAAGTAAGCTTTACCCAAGCCTAGTGAGCATGCAAACTCACCAAGGTTAGAACCAAGCCCTCAAGGCTTCTAGGATGCAGAATCTTTAACACCAACGTGGCTACTCCAAACCACCAAGGTTGGACTATGGTGTGAAAGTGCAAACACAAGTGTGGCTACTCCTAGCCACCAGGAGAGGCAACAAATACCAAGAGAAAGAACAAAGAACACAAGAACTAGAGTAAATGCCTCAGAGTTTTTTACTCTCTCCCAAGAGAACGGAGGAATGAATGAATGAATACAAATGAGAAGGAGAGACTCTCTATTAATAGTTGAGCTCCCTTTCAATCAATGACCTAGATATTTTACATCAACAGTTAAGATCTACCCAATTAATACAATATCCTTTAAATCAAGAAAACCCAACCCAATCCATCTAATTGCATCCATTAGTAGGATTCTTTCTTGGATAGGTGTTCACACTGGATATGGTAAAATTCCCCCACAATCTTCCTGATTTGTTGTCTCTTGTCATATTTACTGAGCTCTTGTGATCATCTTCGGATATGATGCCACTTTCCTTTTCTGCATGACCAATGTGAACGGGCTCCACAACATTCTCCAAGTGATGGGTCAAGTCTGGTAACCTTGGCAAGCCCACACTCTGCATAGAACCTCTTTAGCAGATACTTGTGCCAATGTCCCGGACCCAAATATCACGGCCCGTGACACTATGCTAATAACAATATTTAAAGTATGTTATAGCCATCAAAATCACAACACAAGCACTTTATAAACTTTTATTTTAAATTTATTTTTATTAAATTTAAATTACATACTATCTAATTAAATTCATATTTTAAACAAAACAAATTTATATTGTTACAATATAAAGTTTAAAATATGAATTTAATAAAAAATTCATATACTTTAGAATATGAATAAAAAAAATTCATATTTAAACATGTATTGTTATTAAAATATGAATTAAATTAGAGAGTATGTAATTTAAATTTAATAAAAAAATAAATTTAAAATAAAAGTTTATAAAGTGCTTGTGTTGTGGTTTTGATGGTTACAATACACTTTAAATATTGTTATTAGCATTTAGTCCATGTGGATCTACCACATCATCATATACCATGAGCTGGGCAAGCCACGCTAGCATCTCCGTCCATGTGTACGTGCTTGGTCAGCATCGGGCGTTGACCGTTTGTTGACTAACGATTTTCATCAACCGAGGGGTTTTTTTACCCAAAATAAAACGTTGAGTGGTTAAATGTATCAAAAAAATAATAAGGGTAAGTTTGACAATACTGTAAAATATTAGGGTAAATTAATTTACATTGTTGAGAACATCAATGTTGATGGTAAGAGCCCTGCTTTCTTCTTTGGATCATATGCTATGATTGAGAAGTAATTTAGATAGCTAATAAAAAAATAGAAATTTGGGTATTGGTCTTTCCTTCATGTTTGAAAGTTGAGCTAGATCTTAAGTGATTTAGGTAAAGGTGAAAGGTCAAAATCTTGTACTTGTTTCCAATTACCAACTCACCAAGACTTTTGGGTACTTAAATATTATAAAAATTCAGTTTGATCGTACGCATAGATGGGAATTTTTCATTGGGTTGCTTTAGTAGATAATAACATTTTTCTTCATGTTTTTGTACAACATTGGAATTTGTTAAGGCAAATTAGTTCACCTCTCAGCAATAATAATCGTTGTGGTCACAATTTTACCAAGTCTATGTACTCATGCAATCTGATTGAGATGCAGCCATTGAAACAACCTTATGGTCAATTGAATGGGGCATTGCTGAGCTTGTTAACCATCCTGAGATCCAGCAGAAGCTCCGCGACGAGATCGACACCGTACTAGGACATGGTGTGCAGGTTACCGAACCCGACACACATAAGCTTCCTTATCTGCAAGCGGTGATCAAGGAGACTCTCAGGCTCCGAATGGCCATCCCTCTATTGGTTCCACACATGAACCTCCACGATGAGAAGCTCAGGGGGTACGACATCCCCGCGGAGAGCAAGATCCTCGTGAACGCGTGGTGGTTAGCCAGTAATCCTGCACACTGGAAGAACCTTGAAGAGTTCAGGCCCGAGAGGTTCTTTCGAGGAGGAATCGAAGGCCGAAGCAAATGGGAACGACTTCAGGTATCTTCCATTCGGTTTCGGAGGGAGCTGCCCGGGGATTATTATCGCACTGCCGATCCTAGTTATCACGTTGGGACAGTTGAAGCTCCTGATCCTAGAGATCACGTTGGGACAGTCGAAGCTCGACACGACCGAGAAAGGAGGACAGTTCAGCTTGCACATTCTGAAGCATTCAACTATTGTTGCAAAGCCACTGGTGTTTTGATGGAGGTGGTGTTCTTTGAAAATCTGGATTTGATGAACTTGAATACTGCTTTGCTGGGTAAAAATTTGTAAGATGGATGCATGCTTGCATTGTTTGATAAAATCATTGTCTTAATTAAGCTTTTGACATATATTTTGTTAATAGTATCTTAGTCTTTTTATGTACGGAAACAGAGGCCGATCATGGTCCGTTCAACTCTCAATAAGAATTAGGCTTACTTTATGATATGCTATTTATTTATTTTCCTGCAACTTTACTGCTTAAACGGAAAGGATAAATACATTTATATATTATACTTTTCGTATTTAAATTTAATTTAAACGGAAAGGATAAATATATATCTCGTGTTTCAAAGAAGTAATAATTTGATGTAAGATCTTTTAACATTTTAATTAAATAAAACTTTTCTCTTTATTTTGTCTAAATAATAAATTAAATTATTTTTTTTAAAGTTAAGTCTCAAAATTTTATTACTTTTACCTCTACTCACAAGATAAAATTCTTTGAAGGTGGCCACTATATTACTTTGAAATGAATTAAATTCAAAATTCCTAATGTCAAGTTTATTATCACTGTCAAATGCTCATTCATCCTTTGTATGTCAGTATTATCTGTCAATTTTATGTCTTTCCTATTATTCTAGCTGAATGCCATCGACATCGCTGAATGACCACCCATCTATACTGGATCCCATTGTCATTTTATCCCCTTGTTGTTATTTCAAACTCCAAATACTTAAAACTTAAATCTCTAAATTCCCAATACTTAAATCCCAAAACCTATTATGATCATCGACTACCACTGCCCAATACCCACACTTCACGGACCCATATCGTATACTATCTCCGTTACCGTCATCTAAATTTTTTAAATCTAAGAGAACTAGGGTTTTATGAAAAATAGAAAAAATAAGATTTTTCTGCACAATTTGAAAATTTATTTTTAAATAAATAAAAAATTTAACAAATTAAACAAACCACGTGTCAAACACCGATTGGTTATTTACTTTTAATGAACTTTCAAAAGCCCATGAAGGAACTAATCTTAAAATGTTAATTTTGAAAACGTCATATAATTATTTTGATAAAAATAAATTTAACCATATAAAGTTAACAAGAAATATAGTTGTCACTTATTTTTAAGCTTAATGATAAAAATGTCCTTAATGTTAGGCTAAATAACTATTTTAGCCTCGTGATGTTCTAGTTGAATTATTTTGGCTTAAAACATTTTATTTTTGGGTAAAAAGTTTATCTGTAAATAGAATCCATTACTCAACAAACAGTCAACACTTCAAAAATAAGAGTTTTTTTGCCTTAAATTAAAATATTAGACCTATAATGTTCCAGAAAAAAAAAAGAATATATACTAAAGTGACTATTTAGTCAAACGTCAAAGACCTTTTTACCCTAACATAAAATATTGGGGTCAAAGTACTAAAAAAAAAAGAAATAAAAACCAAAATGATTATTTTGTCAAATATTAAAAGTATTTTTTTGATATTATACCTATTTTTAATTAAGCATTTATAATTTTTTATAGTTGGTGCTGCAAGAAAAATGATCTATAGTCGAAGAGCTATCTAGATAGTTTATCCTAATGGGGGAGTTTGGTTTACGGAATGTAAGATTACATTTGAGAATAATATTACTGGAATGTAACATTATGATGAGAATGTTATATTACCATGTTTGGTTTGTTTAGTAAGAATGTAAAATTACAGTGTTTGGTTGGAAGAATATAAGATTATTTAAATGTATATTTTATCAAATTATCCTTATGATATATATATTTTTTAAAAGTAAAACTTTGAATTATAAATATTTGAATGAAAATTCATAGAAATGTTTTAATTATTATGCTATCTTACTTTTGAGAAAAATATATTTAATATATAATTAATATATTAAGCTTATATTTTTAAATGATTTTAAGCATCATATTTATTTATATAAAATATAGTCTAATATGAAAAAATAATATTATGATCCCGAGTGAATAAAGATATTATTTTTCAGTGTATAAGATATATTCCTAATAACTTCAAGTTAAAGATTATTTTTTAAATAATTATATTTTTACAATCATATTATTTTTTTAATTCGTAAAATTATATATAATTAATATATTAAATATTAAAATATAAAATAATTTTAAATAATTAAATTTATTAATATTTATCAAATTAATTTTTTGTATATTATTATTATTATATTTATAATTTTGAGTAAAATATAAAAAATAAGAGTTGAAAATAATCATTATTAAAAAATTATAAAAAAAATTGAAGGATATAACATTCTAACTATTTTAACTAAAAATACTACTATTAAGAAAAAAATTATTCCCTAATAATTTTTTTCAAGAATCATACGTGAAAATATAAATCTAAAAAAAATTATTCCCATTAATAATATTATTTTCCGTCCACCAAACAAACTGCTTTGTTTGTCAATTCCGTGACAGATCGGGGACACAGCAATTTAGTTTCAAAGAAGGAAAACTCGGTGCAAGATTCGATTTTGTGAATTTTCTTCGTTCTGGGTAAAAGTTAAAGGCTGAAGAAAAGGACGTTGATCGCAATTGATGGAGAATTCAAGTAGCAGTGATGGGGAAGAGACAATAAATCAGACAATACCTTCCTCTCCTTCAACATCATCTTCCGATGGTTACCGTTTGTTTGGTCGTCAAGGTTCTCTTCACCAGTCTCTGGGTGGTGGTAAAGGTAAAAAAAGTTGCAATTCCAAAAAAAAAACTTCTGTTTTATTTTCCATTTTCACTTGTGTTTGTTATTGGTTTTAATGAAATCAACTTAGGTGATTCTTGGGGCACTTTGATTTTTGATGAAAAAATTGAAACATTGCTGGCAAAGAAAAAAAAAGCTACTCCCTTTTGAGACGATCTCTTTATTTGTAGTAGTTATCCATTTGTTCATACTGCCTAGGCAAAATGATTTGCTGCTTACAATCTAATTGGGTTTTCTTCTCTTTACTACTGTTCTACTTTGTTTTGTTTATCTATGTGGATTGTAAAAAATAGCTGATTCCCAGAACTGGAACAAACTCTTTGCTATAAATTGGTTTGAAATAAAGAAGTTATGTTGCTGAAGTGGAAATTTGTTGATTTCTGGATTGAAACTCTTCATGCATTGAATTGTGAATCTTGATAATGCATTGAGTTGTTGCATAAAGGAAGTTCATGGTGAGAGTATGCGTATAAGTCTAGTGACTGGTGAGAGTATTTCTTGTGGTCTTGACAAATCACTCATTCAGTGAAATTTCTCCACAGGCCAACTCGATCAAGAGAAATTTCACTAAAAATAGATGGTTTATGAAGACCAATTGAAATACTCACTCACCCTTATACCCAAAATATCATTTGCACTTCCTATATTCTTTTAGTTCACTTACTTTATTTCTCCTTTGTTTCTACTTGACACCTGGACATATACTATTCAGCCTAGTTGCATAAACCCTTGTGTGCCTAGTTGATTTATTTTGCCATTTTATCTTTTACTTACAAATGGTTTATTTTAGCTCTGTCTTTGGGCTATATTTTACAACAATTTAGTGTCAAAGTTCTGTTTATGATGCTAAGAAACTTATAGGGTTTATCATGATTGCGGTCAATGCGACATCTACAAGAAGTTGAGAATTCAGATGGCAAGAAAAAAATAGTAATGCATGCAGGGATGTACATGGTTCATGAACCAAGCAGATAAGCTAAAATATGGGAGTGAACTAAGTGAGTAAGCAAAAAAATAATGGAAGCTTATTCAGAGAGTATATTGGGGAAGTGTGCTTATCATTTTGGTGCATGTCTGCATCAAATGCCATAAGCATAGTCAAAATGTTTCATGCTACAATTTGGTGCATTATTAAGATTTGCACGCTCCAATTCAGTGCTTAGAAAGAAATTTCTAGCCACCAATCAGCAAATCTTTGTGATATTTTTTTCTCTTTCCTACAACAGAAAGATGAAGTTAATTTTCTATTGTTTTTCAAAGATTTAGATTTTTTTTACATGGTCCATGAGCCTAGCAGATAGGCTAAAATAAGGGAGACAGCTGAGTGAGTAAGCAAAAAAATAAAATAAAAATAAAGGCAACTCAAGCAAAGAGTTTATAAGCATGTGGATCAGTTTGGTTCATTATTAAGTTTTGCATTCACCCACTAATCGACAAATCTCCATCTTGGCATGATAAATTTTATTCTTACAAGAAATGCAGAAGCAAACTTGCTATTGTTTTGCACTGGTCCAATTGTTTATTTATTTCTGCGAGGTGAATCCCTGGAATATCCTCCCTCTCTCTCTCTTGAAGGATGATCATGGGGTTTCTTGGTAGAGGAGAAACAAAGCTGATATTCTTCTTTAGTTGTTTGCTCCAAATTGTGGATTGACATAAAAGCTGAATTTACTTTTCCTGATGGGAGACAATCCTTGAAAGCCAAGTGTCCTTTTGCCTGTGCTCATTCAATATCTATCTTCAATGTTTTTTTTATTCTATTTTTGTGTGAATTTGTGGCTTTTAACAGTTCACCAACATTCTTTTAATATAATTACTAAATAGTGTGATGTTGGAAAGATCCTGTTGTGTAGTGTGGTATTATTTCTGTAAGATTATTTTCATGCTCTGGCTCATTATCTTGTCACCCTTTTAAATGCATTTGTTTTATGTGATAAATTAACAAATTTTGCTTCTCATGTTCATAGCGGCTGATATACTCTTGTGGAAGCAGTGGAGTGTTTCCCTTGGTGTCATCGTTGTTGCTACTGTCGTTTGGCTCATCTTTGAACGGTCTGGATTACCAATCTTATCAATATGTTCAGATGTTTTGCTGATATTAATTATAGTGTTGTTTGTCCGTTCCAACTATGCTTCTTACAGAGATAGGTAATACTAATATTGCTTTTCTATATGTTGATTTCCTTTTAAATACTGAAGTGGTTCTGACAATGAAGTTGGTATATTAATTGAGCAGACATTCACAAACATTACCAGAACTTGAATTGTCAGAAGAAATGGTTAACAATGCTGCAGTGTCGTTTCGTGTTAAAATCAATAATGTGCTTCTTATGGCTCATGAAATAACTCTTGGCAAAGATTTTCGGGTTTTCTTCAAGGTCAGTTAGATCAGCTGTACTTAATATTCTCTGCTGCAATATGCACTGACACAAACGAAATTAGAATTAACATTGAAATAGAATTGTATGTATAGATATTATGGTATTGTTGCTGGAACTGTGATCAAGTTGATATGCTATTTTTTTCTATTATTAGTAAAATAGTCATTAGAATTTGGCGTGTCTGCAGGTTTGGGAAGTAAGAATGGTGGTTTTACTGATTATGTTTACCTTTCGATTAACCCCCAAACTCCACCCTTTTGGGGTCAATCTCATAATTTTAGGGATTTTGGAATTGAGTATTGTCCTCCTTTTTAATAAATAGATCAATTAAGAATGTGTAGTCTCCATTTCTCTCTGTTGTCTGTCTCCTCCTAAACAAGGTTTGATCAGCGGAGCTTGCCATTTTAAATCTGATTTCATACTTAAACGCCCTTTTCTGTGAAACAGTTGATATAGCTTCCAAACTGCTCTTCTGGCAAGCACTCTTCTTAATTCTAACCTTTTGTGTTTATTACCAAGAGGTTGTGTTGATACTTTGCATTAGGCCTCTATTTTCTTTATGCCAATGGACCTTCATGGTATTTTGTGTAATTTCCTGAATTCATCCCCACTTTTTCAATCTCACTTGACCTGTCCTGGTCTACAAGCTTCTAGCGTTTCTGTTGCCTGATAAAGTTTTCGAACTTGATTCATTTGGCAGGTGGTGACTTGCCTGTGGCTCTTGTCCGCCATTGGTAGCTATTGCTCTTTCTTCACACTTGCCTATATTGGTAAGCAATTTCATCTCTCTACTGAATGCACATTATCTTTATTTTGATTCATTGGCATGATTAATTATTATTATTTGTTTTGTTAATCAAAAACCTTGTTAGGCTTTAAGCCTACTTGACTTGATGGGATCTTTGGTTTATTTGTGCTTTTCTTTTTAACTAATTAATTGCCAGATGGGAGACATGTCGACGAACTTTCTCGCCTTATGTATAAGGAGTCATAATTATTTACTCATTTCAATTAATCTATTTGTCATTTCCAACGGCAGGAACCATCCTATCGGTTACGTTTCCCGTCTTCTATAGTAAATATGAAGAACATATGAACAGATACTGTAGAATGATCCACCGAAAGTTTTCCCAGCAGTATAAGATAGTAGATGATAGTGTGACAAACAGAATCCCCCGCAGTTTATCAAAAGATAAAGACATCTAATTCTCACAGTTTACATAGATGTTATGAGTAGTCGTGACTCGTGCTGTAATCTTGGACTTTCACTGCTGATGCAAAGTAGTCGTGATTCTTGTTACCTGTTACGTTAGCTACACGTTTCACCGTCAGTCGAGTTGCAACATTTGCTAAATGCTTCTTCCACATTAGACTGGGAAGAAAAAAAAGTAAGATCTCTGTAACCGTGCTATTCCTGGACTTGTTTCGTGTTTTCGATTCTTTGAAGAACCTCTATGCTGTGCTTGGAGCTCCTGCATTTGTTTGGTTTGTAGAGTTAATTAATTAGCGTAGTCGAGCCGATGTATCAGTAAAATCTGGTAAACGACACGCCAAGTTGATGTCTTTGTGTTTTATGGATATATGTACACTGAAATTCAAAAGCATGTAGCTCCAACTGCACCTGTTATTTTAATAGAATAAATATTGCTATAATTTTGATGAAAAATGAAATATAATAACAAGAAACTTAGTGGCAGTAGAATCATATATTTTACATTAATGTTTGAAGATGTGAGATAATATTTTTTCTATAAAAGTAAAGAGTTGAATATCATACATAAAAGTAAATGATATATTATTTAAAAAAGCTTCATGCATATTATTATTATTTAGTGTCTAATAGACATTAATATTGAAGTTTTGTCTGTAACGTTTGTTATCCCCTACGACAATCATATGTAAAAAAACAAACCACAAGACTTCCTTTGGTGTAAATCGACGACGGTAATAAATTGTAAGATCATCAGTGATGATGAGGAGAATGATCCACTTCAGTCACTCCGATTGAGTTAGAGGTATGATGTAGAGTTTCATAAGAGATCGTTAGTTTCATCGTTGGTGACGAGCATGAGAGGTTCAGATAGGGATGACAAAAAAACTCGAATCCGACGGGGAAAATCGAATTAAACGGGGATGGGGACGGGGAAGGGGACGATAATCCCCGCCCTGATACCTGTCCTGATAAATATTAAATATATATATATATATATATATATATATATATATATATATATATATATATATTAATAAATTTAATTTAAATTAAAATAAAATATATATATAATATTTATATATTTAATTTAAATATATATATACCCGGCCCGATACCCATTTAAATTAAACGGGGATACACGTTTCCTCGCGATTTTTCCCGATTATCCGATGGGGATCCCCGTTTAAATCCCTACGATTTTTTAAGCAGTGACGAGTATGTGTTTTTTTAAATGGGGACGGGGGACCAATACCCAGCCCGAACCCGGCCCGTTGCCATCCCTAGGTTTATATAAAGTTGCAGTATGTCTAGAGGTTGAACATTGTCGCAAAAGGCATTGAGGGAGGTGCTTTAGATTTTTCAGGACCCGCTACAGATGCAGGTCCTTGGAGCATTTTGTGAGGAACTGTCCTTTTTGGATAGTGATGGTTTCACTCGAACTCGGACAATGACTCTGATAACCCAGCATGGCATAGGGTCTACATAGAGAGGCGTCAGCGATATGTTTGTGCAAGAGAGTGGAGGAGCAAATCAACTTGTTCCTAGTTTAGATGCATGTATTCCAACTTTTCGGATCGTCGTAAGGTCTGTTGACGTCATAGATGAGATGTCAGGTATGTTATCATTTTTGGGTGTATAATTTCACATTAGTAGACTTTGGTTTGTGCTTTCATCTGAGCGTGATGTGGAAGAGTTAAGAGAGTAGTGGTACCATTTAAGGATTCCGATATGAGGGCCCATGTACCTAGTCCGATGCAACTTAGTGTGGGTAGACAAAGTTTACCTTAAATGTCCGTTGAGGGCTAGGTCATGCATCATATCTGACCTGATGGAAGGGACCATCTTGATCTGATGTAATCTCGATATGGTTTATTTTTCAAATGTGACATTAATTAGAGACTCGAGGATTGCGAGCTTAGCAAGGAGGGCGCACAAGTTATTTGTGTGTGTTAATCATTAGCATGTGTAATGGATTATCGAAATATCATAAGAGTCATACCAAGGCACTAGAGGTAAGGTAGGTGGACGTTTCTCTAACGTTTTGGCAACATAGACTCATCTGTATACCCCATAGAAGTAGGTAAACTGGATGAACGTTCCTGTTGCAAGTTGTCCACTCTTGTGGGTATTATAAAATGAGTGCGGATATATGTGTGCAAGTATACACAATCGAACAAGTAATAAAGTGATAAGTAGAATATCGTCTTCATAGGGAATTGGAAAAATCAAATAGGTTTGTCAATGCACTTTACTTTGTCACCTAAGTAAAGGTAGTGATGGTATGTACAAATGATAATGCTGTGGCAAAATGAGATGGATGTTGTGGAAATGGAATGGTGGTATGGTAGCAAATGGATATATCGCGGCAAAGTGGATGGAAATGTCGTGGCAAATTCAATTGTGATAAGTGCAAACAATTAGAAATGTCAAGGCAAAATAAAATGCAATTACTGGATTTAATATATAGGACTTTAGATTTCTCACACGACAAACAGCTATGGGAATGAGTGGTAGGAGTCACTAAGAAAATCTAAGTCTATTTCTTTGAATGGTATTTCTTCTATGCCTAGTCTGCCCGACAGAGTCTACTAAGGTGCCCTATGCTATCTCTAGTAAGGGACTCGACAGATTAAAGATGCCCTGGCAAAACCGATTGGCGTAAACCCCTGCAGTGATCCTATTGGTCCAGATAACAGGATATGTCTCAGCAATACCTTTTTGCGGTAGCATTAACATCTAACCTATCGGTTATGCTCTACTCCTTTTAGTCGAATGAAATCCTATCCTTATCTCTAAGGTGGATTAGGCCTAGTTACTACCTAGAACCCCTTGTTTATATAGTTCCTCCCTAGCTTCTCTCGAAGACTAAAGATAAATTGCCAAGGCATTCTCTCGAACCCTCAAGCTCTCCTAAAGAAAGGCTACTCTCGTAGCTCCTACAACCTTAAGGCATTAAGTTTCACAAACAAAACAGAATAAAACATAGAAAATCAACCCATTCATTGCAATAAAAACTTAAACATCAAAGCGAACTCCCACCAAATAGGATTAGTTCATGGTGGGGTTCGAAATAAACAAGCACAAAGTAAGTTTCATTCGTTCCTTACAACCCAACAACAAAATATGAAAGCAAGAACTAAAGGGAGGAGAAAAATCCTTTAACGTGCACTGCCAAATGCCTTCCTCAGCTACCAAGAACTGCTCCTAGCGAACTAGCTCCTCTCGGATGCTTAGAACGCCACTCCCTTCGGCTTGTCAAGGATAAATGCCACGACAAGTAGGATTAATAGAGGAAGATGAAACCTTCTCTCTTTAACTTTTTAAGTTCAAATCTGGGTGGAACCAAAGTCTTTTTCATTGTGGCTTCATCCTCTATTTATAGTGGAAAACAAATCCTAGGACTTGGTGTTAACTATCCTAGGAAACCCCAAAACCATGGTTAAGTTACTTGGGAGTCGAGCAGGACAGTCTATGATGCAACCTGGGTAGCTGGCTGAATGACCGGCATAATCCCGTCGCAGGCGCGCAAAGACAGACAAGATCTGCAGGGTCAGACGGTGTCATCAACAGAACCGGTAGGCAAAGCGTCGATCCCTCCAGGCATATCTTCGAGGTGGATTTCTCGGGCAGAGGGCACGGAGAGTCGGGGATAGCTGGATGGAAAATATCTTCTTTCACCATGTGCGCTTTCAAAATGCCAGTTTAACTTGGCATTTTTATTTAGCTCAGCAATCTCCTTATGTCACAACATTTTCTTTCCTTTTTCCTTACTTTCAATACCTGCACATCATCAGACAAATACCTTTCCCATAAAGCAGCACCGTAGTAAAAATAAATTGCCATGGCAAACCGAAATTCACCACATGAAACTAAATGCTTCTAAATGCATCTATATGGTCCTAAATGAGCCTTTAGATATTCAATAACTTAAGTTAAAAGGTCCAAAAATGTGACCTTTTACGGAGTTATCACACCCCCAAACTTAAGCTATTGCTTGTCCTCAAGCAATGGATAGTGATGAGTAAAAACAAAAATACCATGACAAGTTCAGAAGCAGAATAGTCTTATGTGATAAAATTTTAGCCCTCAGAATATATGGCTTAAACATGCTAGACTAGGTTCGAGAAATCTAGTACTGTCCCCTAGAACAAGATTCTTTGTGTGGGTGTGTGCGTTTTTGTATCCAGACTATGCTTCACAAATTTAAAAATTTTCTACGCAAGCTTTCTTAAATTGCCATGACATTTTCAAAATCAGCTCCCACCTTGCCTTTCTTTTCTTTTATTAGTTCTGCTACGAGGGGAGTCATCCCATCACTCTATCATTCCACACTCTAGGTGAAAGGGAGCATACCTTCCACCCCCGAGCTAGTCAGGTAGAGTCATCCCATGACATCTTTCATTCACTCATATGCCATGGCATAGCGGAGTGTCCCTCTACAGATATGCCTAGGCATTTATTTATAACTTCAAACTTTTTTTAAGAAAATAAACGGGGCTTTCAACAGTCAAAGTTTTATGCCATGACATTTTAAGAATTCTCTTATAAAAAATTTCTAAGTTTCTCAAGCATGGAAAACATACAATCGTGTAATCAAGGGTTTCAAAGAAGCAAGTCCTAGAGTTGATTCTATCATCCCCTACCAGTCATGTACATTCTATCCTAGCCATCAAAATCATTATCATCGAATATCCTTAACTAATTCCAGAAAACTATTTAGGCAATTACTAATGTCATGGCATTTTTAATTTACTGTTACTATCATGCAATGATGCGGGGACCCTACTTCCCCCAAACTTGAGAGAAACATTGTCCCCAATGCTTACTAAAGGAAAATAAAACTACATGCTATTAATGCAATGCAAATGCAAGGTACCTTGGCTTTACATGGGTGGTAGTGCAGCAGTTGCGCGGCGAGTGCGCTTTCTTAGCTTAGTGGGGCTAGAACGTTCAGAGTCAGACGCAAGTGCAGCTGGAGGAGTGTTAGGTCATTCTGGAACGGCTGGGAGCAAGGGCTCCTGATGCTGAGATACCTTTTTAAGGCGACGTCGGCTCCTACGCAAAGGA